GTTTATTAACCACGACCGTGCATTAATAAACCGAAGTTACTTACTTGTGAAACCATCAACGATTAACCATCGGTTCGTTGAATGTTTCTAGTAGTAATTAATGTTGAGATGTTAACTAATTGTCATCTTAGCAACACTCCCCAACATTAACATAGAGATAGATTAATGGAAGAATTAATATTCAAGGAAGAAGATTAAATATGAATAATCCTACTATAACTAATGTCAAGATGTTATCTAATTGTCATCTTAGTAACACTCCCCAACATTAATATATAGAGGAAGAAAATAAATACTACTATAACTAATGTCGGGATGTTAACTAATTGTCATCTTAGCAACACTCCCCAACATTAATATATAGATAGATTAAGAGAATAATTAATATTCAAGGGAAGAAGTTAAGAAAATAACTCACAACTTTAATAATCAACAAGCTTCAAGAGCAACACCAAGAAATGGAACTTTAGCTCCTCATTTGGAGACTAAACATACTATAAAAATATAAAAGAAATACTATTCTAAACTGAGCTTAAGAGTATGGAAGAAGGGATTATTAAAAGTGAAGGAAAATGGGGCTATTTATAGGTGTTTTTCAACACCTCTGGCCGGGGTACCCGACCGGGTAAAGTGCCCACCCGACCGGGTGCATGTCAAAATCAAATATCTTCCACGTTCTGGCGATCTTCGGCACGTTCTGGTGTTCCGGGTCAAGTCGGACCCGACCGGGTGAAATACCTCACCCGACCGGGTGATGTAATTTCCTGAGCAGTTTCGCATTTAAATTTCTCACCCGACCGGATGCAATACCTCACCCGACCGGGTGATTGTCCTGGGCAGCCAAGAATTATTTTTCTTCACATTCAAAGTCTTCCTTTCCAACACCATAAATCCTAACTCTACTTTACAACTTACAAATGAGAACTAAAATACAATTACAACTAAAATCACACAAATGTTTATAAACTAAATAAAACGATAAACAATACACACAAATCAAACATAAAAACATACACTTATGCACTACTAAATAGTGCATATCAGTCATCATGTTTGTGGTGGGAATAGTAATTTCCGGCGCCTTCATAACATCAAGGAAAAGAAAAATAAAACTCACACCAACTGAAACTCCAACAACTACGACTGAAACCATATGGTGAGACTTTGAGGCGGTTACCCCTGAGAGAGCAACATGAATCGCTAACCATGTAGTGGGCTTGACACAGCCAAACTTGTTCCCATAGATCCAACCATACCCAATGACATAAAGAGAGGCAAAAAACTCAAACAAACTGTTAAAACCAACAACAAAAATGGACACAAGAAAACAAATAACAAACAGATAAAAACTACAAAAAAAGCGTTCACAAACTCTAGCATCTCGTACATCTCATGGTGGTGGTTCGGGGGGGGGGGGGGGTCGTACCACCGGTACCATGCTAATTGATCCTCCGTGACCTTTGGCTGCCAAAGACCATGCATCGATCCTCCGTCCCTGCATAACAAAACTCATCCCTGCTCCGTGCAACCAAAGTAAATGGATAGGCGGCGCCGATCTTCTCCAACGACGACAGCAATGCCGCATCCTCGAACCTTGACCACAACGGCGATCTCCTCGAGCCATGACAGCAAATCCGCCCTCCGAGGACGAAGCACAAACAATAGCGGCTGTCCTTCGATTAAAATCGAAGACGGAAAAGGCGGCCGTCCTTCGATTAAAATCGAAGACGGAAAAAGACTCCAAGCGGTCGAAGCCCTAGAGAGGGGCACAACTATAAGTTGTCGAACTAAATCTTCGTCCAATTTAGGTACTTAATTAGATGCTTGAAAAAGTCTTGCAGTTCAGAAGGGTAAATTAGATGCACACGGGGAGAAGGGACATAGTCTGTTTAAACAAATCAATCAACAATAATCTAAAAGTGACAAATACAATTATTAGTGACAATGACAAATCAAACAAAATAACGACTTTACTAGTACCATCAAATAAAGTAAAATTTACTTCAATATTTCAAATTTTCTATTAGCACAACTGCACAAGCACAATATACATCATGTATTTATCATCCATGCAATGCCAATATAGCAATATTAACTCAATAGTTTATAAATTATAACCATTAATAAACGATAAAAAACCATTAATCACAAGTGTAACTTTAAAACCTTCAATCCCATTCAAATAATAAATATAGAAATTTATTTCAAATCCTGAAAAAGTAAAAATCCTTGATCCAGGCCATAGAGAACAAAAACTTCCAGTTGCAGGAATGCTTTACTCATTAGTCCTTTAGTCGTTTAATTAACTCGTCAGTCATTTTTGTACAACTACCGAACTACACAAGCAGAAGCAGCAGGCAGCAACACAGATAAAAGAATGAGAATAAATAATGACTATTGACTACTAAAGAGATTAAGAGACAAAATCACAGTGTAATAAGAGAAGTAGAAAAGAAGACTCGCTCAGCCCACTTAGGTTGGCATTAGCAATTCGGTGCTCACTGATAGGCAGCGCTGTCGGTCAATCAATGGTCTGTACTCGACTGCTTGCCTACTTGGTACCCGAGAGAATCGTCTCCAGCGGGTGGAAACTGTCAAAGTTTTACTCTGAAAGTGAAGGCTTAAACATAACATATAATATGATAGCAAAACATACACGAATTGTAAGAGGTTCTAAATATAAATATAGATAGAGTTTTCAGGTACAATATGATAGCATAACATATAATATGATAGCAAACATATATGTATTGCATATATTGCCTTTTTAAATTATAAATGGCTGCTAATTAAGAGCAAACATTGAAAACTTACCCCAATTTCAGTTAATCGCTCATCCTTAATTTTAATCTCCTCCAAAAACAAAAACTGAAAATGATGAAACAAATTCGAAATCATCACCAAATAAAATACATAAAAATCCATGAAGCAAGCCCGATTGCATACCCCATACAGTCAAGTCAAATTCACCCTACTGCCAAGCACATAAGGAGATGTAAACCATCACCTTGCGTCGTTCTTTGTGCAGTGCAATGTTATGTTGTTTTTTAATTATTTTTGTCGATTCCTTAATGAAATTGATTTTCCAGATTATTTTATTTATTTTGGAAAATCTATTCAATTGCTATTGAACTAATAAATATTGGGAAAGGGGAAGGGGCTGAAGGCCGATGGTCACCCAGACACCCACTGGTCCTTTTTTTACAACAGAGATTTTACAATGACATTTTAAAACCATTGTCATAATTCTCCATTAACAATAATATCTGCATATGAATCGGGCCACAGGCCACTGAGTTATACGTAGTACTACGTAGGATTTATGTTTGTTATTTGAGTTATATTTCGTTTTTTCTCACGATAATAATGTAATTGATTGATGGCATGTGTACAAAATTAATGCTATTGTTTTACATTGAAAACAATTTTTTTATACTATTAACATTACTTCATTACTTGACATTGTCATAAAATAACATTGACTTTTAAACAAAAAAATATATTACATTGTCGTATAATGACATTGAGTTTTAAACAATGACATATTTTACATTGCCATGTAACGACATTGATGTTTAACAATGACATTAAGTTACAAATAATGACATTAATTTTTAAACAATGACATTATATTACATTGTCATATAATGACATTGATTTTTAAACAATGACATTATATTACGTTGCCATATAATGACATTGATTTTTAAGCAATGACATTATATTACATTGTCATATAATATTAGCATCAATGACATAAAATGACATTGTCATAATCACAATGCTAATAGTAGTGTCAATGGCTATCCTAACAATGTCAATTCTAATGACAATATAATATACAATGTTGTTGTATGACAATGAAATAATGTCATTGTTTTAACATTATTACCATTGATAGAAAAATCAAAATGGTAAAAACGGAAAAATAAAAAATGTGGCAACGTAAAATATTGTTACGCATATTATGATAAACCTTGTTAATATGTATAAAAATGTCATAATGTCACATAATTACAATATCATTGTCATTATTAAAAATCGTGACATTGTAACAATGACATTGGGAATGAAACTGAAAATTATACTGTCACTATCAAATTGTAAATTGTGTTGATATACTAAAAATAATATTAATGTTATAAAAATGTCATTATACTAAAAATCACTTATCAACATTTTCATTAGAATTTTAGCAATGTCAATATTGTAGTAAAATGTATTATAGTGCATACAGTCAATTGTTATCTTCAAGGTCATCAGAAATGGGACTATCACAAATGTTATTTAATTATTATCAATTGGTAAATAACGAAAATAAATCAAAGAAATAGTAAAAGATTTATTAACATAACAATTAAACAAAGCAACACATTAGAGTTACAATTTGAAAAAGGAAATTAGAAGAAAAAAGAAACATTAATGAACAAAACGAATCACACATCTATTCCACGCACAGTGAAAATCCAAGACAGCCAAGGAAGAAGAGGAGAGAAAACAGAGCATCGGCGGAAGAAAAAAGGAGAGGAGAAGAAGAAAGGAGGAGAAAGAGAAGAAAAATAGATATCTCTAACAGCTTCGCCGACACTGTCTTACACTTCGTCCTTTCTGTTCATCACCTCTTTTGGCATCTTTGTGCTTCGTGACTTCAGATCTGATCTAGGTTCTCGGATTTTGCTGTAGGAGAAGAGCCGAGAGTAGAAGCGCACGTTGGGGAGGAGTCGGGAGGCAGAGATCTCATTCTCATCGAACGAACGTTGCCTGCGGCAGAAGCTTGTGGAACGACCTCAGGCCGGACTGCCGGAGTTGACCGCGGGAAGAAATCGCCTGCTCCGGAGAACTTGGTCGCACGACGGAGGAGAACAACTAATAGACTGCGCAGCAGTTTGAGGCTTCCCTTCCCGACTATCAGTGACGTCGGAGGGAAACCGCCGGAGTCCGTAGGAGGCTGCCGTTTTCTGCCCAAACCGAAGGAGGTCAGTTTCTTTTCCCTTCGTCAAGTTGCCAATGTAAACGAAGACCGAGCTGCTAAGAAATGAAGACACGGTGGCTAAAATAAAAAATTAGGGGTAAATCTGGAAACACGGACAAATATAGTCTTATTTAAGTATAAAAAACATTCAAGTCCTATTTAGGTAGATTGAGTTTTTTTTGGTCCTATTTAGCACCATTTCTCAAAATTATTCCAAGCATCAGCAAACAAATAGAGTATTAATTTTCAATATAAAACTAATGATACAAAGGAAATTACTTGAAGAAGTTACTGGTTGTACCTTTACATCAGAATCCCCGGCCAAACCCGAAGAAACCTTATCTGTCATCTTTCTTCTTCATGAAGTCTGCATGTCTGTGAGGCTGCCTGTCTGCCTCTTGCCTCACCGGCCTCCTCGTCCTCTTTGGATTGGAACTGTCTCTTAAAAAGAAAGCCCCAGGTCAGCCGTTCCCGTCCTCCAGACCAGAAAATTGGTTACTGATGCACTTGATTGCAAGCAGTCTCAATCTGATGTGGTCTCCACCGTCTATGGCCCTCCGTTGATGTCGCTGCAGTGGATGCGTCACTGCTAGCCGTCGATCGCCCCATGCTTTGCCTCCTCTATGCCAAATCCAGATGAAATTGGCGATATCTGGGTGGCTATGAAATCGACAATATCCGGCGGGCTACATGGGCTATATGGAATACCCTCTATTAACCTCCTACTTTCAGGTAGGGCTGCACATCGGGCGGGTTGGGTTTGCTATATGTTTTGGGCCTACCCGATTTTTTCGGGTTGACTATTGACCAACCCGCGGTACGCAAAATAAGTTGGAAAAACATGCATGAACGGGTCAGGTAGAGTCGGGTATTGACGAAAAAAATCACTTCGGGTTGCATCTTTCATGTGGGAAATTAATGTAACCAATTTAAAATTCGATTAACTTGTTTCCAAAACACACAAACAAATACAAGTACTCGTATCTTTTATAAGCAAAAACATTAGGTAATAGTATTAAAACATCCTTCCGTAAAGGAAGTTCATTTAGAAGGAAAAGTAAATATATAATAATCACCTAGTCAAAATGATAAATGTTTAATTATAACTCTAATATCATAAAGTCCTAAATAGAGCACATTGGTCTTAAATTGAAATTATCCAAGAAAACGTTGTAGCATAATAATAGTAAAATGAACTTCGGTCGGGTCGGGTACTATCGGGTTTGAGATTTTAATTCTGCAACCCTACCCATTAGATGCGGGTTCAAACATATTTAACTCATGAGTATTTTTAAAAATCAAATACCCGATTAAATAGGGTCGGGTGGGGTTGGGTCGGGCGGGGTATGTGGGTTCGGGTTATTCTTGTGCAGCCCTACTTTCCAGTGCCATTCATGGACCGACTTTTGAGTTTTGACCAACGATTGAGACATTTTTGAGCGGGAGTTTGGCCATTGTTTCCACGGTGATTTGTATATAAATAGATTCTTGGATAAAGGAAGGACTTGTGCTAATAATATGTTAAAATTTTCCACAAGACAAAAGACATAATATTCAAAAAGAAACCAACTACTCTGTACTATATAGAAGAAATCATAGCAAAACAAAGACACAAATTTTATTCACTCATAACAAACAAGGGTGGCCCTAAGGGGGTGCAAGTGGGGCGGGCGCCCTAGGCCCAAAAAAATTGATAAAAAATAGGCCCAAGTTTGTTTCTTTGTAATAGGTGTGAGTAGGCTCATTTTCCCGTGCTACATTTGTTGAAGTTCTTCAGAATTGATTTTCTTGGTGAAAACTTATGATCATGTTCTCTATGAAATGTAGATTATGTAAAAAAATCAATTCAAAGTTCAATTTAGAAGTCAGTTAAATAAATTATTGAAAAACACTACGTTTGTATACATATTTTGGTGCATTGTTTTTCAATCATTTATTTAACTTACTTCTCGATTGAATTTTAAGCTGAAATTTTATGGACATAATCTACTCTTATGAAAAACATTGTCTTAAATTTTCATTAAAAAAATTCACTGGAAAGCAGATTAGTCTCATATGATTATTTGATTAGTTTATTAATTGATTCTATTCATAGTTGATGGTTTGATTTCTTAATTGTTGATTGATTTGTATTGAGTGTTGGTGCTATAGATAACTAGTTGATTTTGTTAGACCAACATTTTCAATAATGATAAATGTTAAAAATTTAATTAATTTCAAGGTGTAATATATAAAAAGGAATGAATCTGAATAGGATAAATAAAAAAGAGGAAAAGATTAAAGAAAACGGCGCTAAGTAAGAAGTCAAATTCTGAATGTCATCTTCAAGATGAGAACTCATAGAACAATAATTTAGCTACTAAAAATGAAACGATTCAGAATGATTACATCATTGGAGGGGCGATTTATGAGGTGATAATAATAGATTTATTTCCTTAAATATGATTTAAACATTGATAAAATGTACAATTAGAATAACCATTGCTTCCTTCCTAAATTATTATGCAAGTGAGTTTAGATAGAAAAGGGTTCAATTCTACAATTTTTTTATAACATTAGACCCATTTTAATTTTTCACCCATAAGCCTTCGAACATATAGGGTCGCCCCTGGTAACAAAACAAAGGCGTAATTTATACTCCATAGTAAACATTTGTAACCCCCTTGAAAACTAAGAGTCTTTTAGTAGATTACTAAGGAGACTCATGAGCATCATTTGTAAACACCATTTAATATTGCTTTATTGCGATGTTTAATTTCTCCGTCTATGTTTGATCATATTTTTGATACATAATTTGACAGATTAGTATTCTCAATCATTTAATTAGCAAAGAGAGATAAAACCAAAATGGGATATTCCAATCGATCCATGAATTGGACAACTTTGTTCTGAAACCTAAGAAATAATTCATCCATGAGTCCTTCTCCAAGCTGTGCTTTTAAAAGAGGTTCAAAGACTGATCTTATATATCTGGTCAAGAACACTCCTCTCTTTCTTACATCCACCAAAGAGTACAAATCATTATCATCTCCATCTTCATTGAGGTTGGATCCATCCCAACATAATCTCAAACTCTCTAGACTTTCAATCTTAAAAGATCCTTCTTCCTCAATCATTTCTAGGATTTCCTTTGCAGTAGGGTGATATGCAGGAAGTCTCAAACTCTCCAATTTTGACATTTCAATTATATTCTGCGCCCAAAACAAACCTCTCAGCTCATCTTAGATTAATTAACTAGACATGTTTGACTAGTACTCCGTATATAGTTTATGTATGTGTTATAAAATAATTTTCTTAGTTATGATATAAGTTTTTAATGGATCATATTCTAATTCTGATTTTGCAATTTTGTAAACATTACGGTTCAGTTTCTAAACATGTAGAATTTGAACTGATTTAATGATTTGTAAGGAATCTAAGGAAGATTTAATCTTAAAACTCGCGAATTGTAAATTGTTTAGAACGGAGGAAATATACGGAGTATTATTAATGTTATTTCAATCTTTATGTCTAGTTTACGAAGTATGAATTATTTATGATACTTTAATGCTATTAACGGCCAAAAAAGGGACAAGAGATAAAATGATTTAACAGTTTGTCATCTTTGCTTCCAAAAATCTAACGGTTGAGTGAAATTTTACATGAATGAAATGATTAGATCAGTCATTCTTGTTGTATCCATCCTTATATCCACCATGTCTTTGAAGGTTTTTTTGTCTGTGATCCCGATTCACAAACAAAATGTGTCTTATTTTGTCTGTGCAAACTTTGCACAAACATATTTTGTCTGTGAACGGGATTCACATATAAAAAAAGCCTCACTACAAGAAAACAATAATATTGGCACAGCCTTGACACGGATTAACCGAGTTGGCACGGATTTGAAGTATTCGTGTCAAATCTATGTCAAATACCCTATGAATTTTGACAAATCCGTGTCAAAGATCCGTAACAAATCTGTGCCAATTTCGTTTTTTGTAGCACCTTGCACAAACATGGTGGGTATAAGGGTGGTACAAACAACATTTCTATGTAGATACCTCTAAAGCCATATCTACGATTACTTGACGGAAGATGCTTGAAGGGCTTATAAAATCAGGAGTGTCGTATCTGCCTATCAAAGTTAGGAGCATGGCTCCCCCAGGGACTATTTCTTCAGAACGTGATCTCAAGAACAATTGCAAGTCTTTCTTAAATTGATCCTTATAAGATGGTGGAGCTTTGCTTGTCAAATAAACATTGCTTCGTTCATTAATTGGTAGTTGTATTTCTCCCTTTATATCTTTGGGAGCCTGCTTATTTGCAAACAAGTAAAATAGTAAGTTTACTATTGCAAACACCATTATTAGATTAGATTGCAACAGACTTGGTCAGACATAAACAGACTGGACCAAATAAGATCAAGATCCAGACTATAAATGAAAATAATGTTAGACGCTATGTTGCACGGAAACATGAAAATAATGAGGAAACGGGAAACGGAAATGTAATATTTTACTCAAAAACGACAATCGTTTAGAGAGTCCCAAAAGAGTTTTCGTCTAGTTTTTGAAACGGGAACGTACGTTTTCCCGAAAGTTTCCGTGCTTCATAGATTTACACGTTATTAGACTAGATCGGACGGGACAAGACCAGTCCAGTACTAGAAAATTCGAGTCGAATCGAACAGGACATTAAAATAGGTGTGTGACCTGAGCCAGCCAATGGATTGCGAAAGAGGAAAAGAATAAATGTATGGACTGCGAGGGGAAGAGTCTGCCATAGAAACTCCCAGGTGTTGCATTAAAGAAACATGGTCCACCAGTCTTCCTCTTCTCTTTCAGAAATCCAGGAATCAATTTGAACAATGTATTGAAGTCGTTCCCAAACAGATCATTAAGGAAAACCTGGAAAGCAGGTGGCTTTTCATTAATATTAGTATTGCTGCTTTTCATTGCTTCTTTTGCTACCATACCAATAGTGTCCATAATGTTGGATGCAGCAATTAATGCATGAACTCCCGAAGAACAACCCAAATCTGCAATTCTGAAACAGCTTGGAGAAGGGATGATTCTTTCGAACATCTTCCTTATGCTTTCTTCCATGATTGGCTTGGCTTTCATCATCACCTTTAACTGGTAATTAATGAAGACATACATGAACGCCATCTAGTAAAGACTACATATGAATTATATACTACCTCCGTCCCTTATTAAACTTCCAAATAGGTTTGGCACAGAGTTTAAGATAGTGGGTATTGTGTGGTGGAGAATTGTGCAGAGGAGAGAGAAATCTGTAAGAATTGTTGTGAACCACAAATTCTGGCCAAAAAGGGAAAATGGAAGTTTTAATTGGGACGGACGAAAAAGGAAAGTTGGAAGTTTATTTAGGGACGGAGGGAGTAACATATTATGAGCTCTCTAGATAACATTGAAATAGGTTATGTAAAATAATTAGTGAGATCCTGAATCAAGTGTTTAAACATATACTCCATCCTTTTTTTAAAGCAACATTGATCTTTTTCCACTATTCACGTGTTCTACTTTGACTCTATTTTATTTATTAATGTATTACAATATAAATTAAATTAAAAAAAATACTTTTAAATTCAATCATTTTTAATTTTTCAAAATAAATTTTTTTACTAATAAGGAATGCAAGATATTAATGATCAAACTTGTGCGTTGGCAAACGTAAAAAGTGGACCATTGCATTTAAAAAAGAAGTATTCTAATATTTTGAAACTTTCACCTGCAAAACTAAACTAGCTTCTAACTTGGCCAGGGTTTGAGGGAGAGAAAAATAGGAGAAAGGAAGAAAATATAATACGAACCGGAGCTGTTGCATTATGAGCATAGCTGCTGTCTCCCGCACCACCATTCATATGAGGAACTTGCACACAGCTGCTTTCTGTCGACATTATATATATTGAGCGTTACTTGTATCTGATGGATGGAGTCCCCAAATTGTAGGCTTTATATAGGATGATGAATAGTAGCTTTGCCTGGTGGCCCATTGTTTTTCTTAGCCGAACAAATTCAAAAATACACCAATTTTATTTCAATTCTACAGGAAAAATTGTTCCCAACATTTGCACATCACAGACATATACTACGTATATAAAGAGAGAGCTCTATTGCTTAGAGAATGGGGGCATGTCGGCATGTGCTGATGTGCCCCCAATAAAGTTTCTAATTTCTTATACTATCGTACTACATATTTCCTCCGTTCTTTTTTAGTTGTAACGGTCAACATTTCACACTTGCCAACGCACGTCTTTGACCGTAATTATATCTTAATCTTTATTCGTAAAAAAAATTAAAAACCATATTCTGAAAATTTGTAATGAGATGAATTGAACAATATTTTTTTTGAAAAATAATACTCATAAAATAATAGCGTAAAATGTAGTCAAAGTAGGACATGTAAATAGTGTAAAATTCAACATGTTGCGATTAAAAAGAAACGGATGAAGCATATAATAAAGCAAATAATTGTTAGAAATAGATTGCCCCCAATAAAAAGATTGAGTTGCTAACATATTGGCCGTTTCGCTGCTCAACACTTGGCAGCTCCAGGTGAAAAAGAGAAGCAGCCCGTCAGTTTTCTAGTTAGCAGCTATGGCATAGGGTTTTAACTCCCTAGCGGCTTTACTGTCGTGTAGGATTTCTTTCCGCCAATTGTTTGTGTGGCTCTTCTTCTCTAGGCTTTTAGAGTGCTTTTTAAGGGGGCGTGAGTGCGGCTGCAGGTTTTGGAAACGAATCCAAGGTTCAAGAAACAATAATCATGTATTCTATGATCTAGAGCAGTATTGTCTCATTCCTGCAATTGAGGAAGAGGTCGAAGGGTTAGTTTCTGGCGAATCAGCATGGGTAGAGGGTGATGGTAGTAGTGGAGGCGGAACGGGTGACGAGAAGACGGGGAGAGGTGAAGGGCTGAGCAAGGGAGAAGACAGCTCGGCGGTCCGCACCCCCTCCTGAACCGCCGCCTTAGAGCGATGAAGGTGCTAGAGTTTAGAAGATTTATCAGTTATTTAATTTTTTATGGTTTTATTTTTGCGTTATGTTTTATGTTGCTTTGTTTTTTGTTGATGTCTTTAGTTTTATGTCTACAATTTCGATTGATAAATCTTCTAGATATTATGTCGTTAGAAGGATCTATACAATGACCAGTGATTGTTGTGTCACACCCGCTTGGTGGTTAGCGATTCGTATTGCTTTTTCAGGGGTGATCGACTCCGATTCTAGCCGTAGGGTTGATAGTGCTAGTTGGTTAGGGATAGTTGTTGTCATGGTTGATCTTTTTGAGTTTGTTGTAATCATTCGATTCCTAATGATATTAATATAAGAGGTTTGTTTTGACAATAAAAAAAGATTGAGTTGCCCCCAAGAATTTTCCCAACATAAAAAAAAAAAGATTGAGTTGCCCCATATTAATATGTGTTCGTTTACAATTGAACTGGTACTTGGACTGTTTTCAGTCCCATACCAGATCAGATCAAACCAAATCAGATCAGATCATATCAAACCAAATCAGACCAGATCAGATCAAACCAAACCAAATCAGATCAGATTTGGATAGTTATAAAATACACTGAGACCAGACGTTTACCAGACCAGCCAGATCAGTTCAGACCAGACCAGATCAGACCAGACCAGAAAATTTCAGTCCACGTAAAAACATCATGCAATAAAACTAATTCAAATATCATTAGTATTATTTTAATAAACAAAATGTATTCATTATTAAATGTAAACTTTTTCTTTTTGGTTGGATAATCAATAAAGTAAAAAGTTAATAGTATTTCACAACTTAGATATATTTATTTACATATCGCCAATTATTCAATGCTGATGTCGTAAAAACTAACATAATTTGTATAAAATTGCTGTTCAAATCATAGTTCATAGTTCAAGTTCCATTAATTAAATTCTAATTGCTTACTTAATTTATTCGATCATATTTACTATTATTAAAGCATACTTTTAATTTAATTACTAAACTTTAATGTCACAATTGATATTCTAAATTAGGTCTCTTATTTAAACACTGCTTTCTCGTAAAATTGTCCAATCGTTAATGATTTTGACACTAATTAACCGGTATTTGGAACGAGAATATGTCTAAATTGCATAAAGAATCTCATGTAAGTATGTAACTAATTTTAAATTCACCTGAATAATATAAAAAACTGCTACATACATAAAATATTTGTTAACAAATTGACGATTTGAAATAATGTTGTGTGACGGCACTAAATATCGTATGTGCCTCCAAATAATATCGATATTAATACTTATACGTAGTATAGTGAAGTAGAGTTCGTATCCACATGAAAAGGAATAATTCTCTTTTTATGAACTACAGTAGTAAATAAAAGGGGGGGGGGGGGGTTGGGATTGAGTGATGTAATTTAATCAAACCCAAGATGAACGACTTATATGTGATTTAATTCAAAAAAAAAAAAAGAACTTAGCTTTTGTAACATTGTCCCCAATTATATTTACTTTTAAGTAAACAAAGTATTGGACCTTATGTAATTGTTAATGAATTTACGAAGTTGTAAATTTTTATTAATTCTTTCGCGTGAATAGTAAATTGCACGTGGGACCCACACCGGAGCGGGGGGCACCCGCGATTCCCGAGACCACATATTTTATTTATCTTGGTTGAGATAATATTTATAGTGGCGGATATTTTATTTGGGCCAAGGAAAAGACAATGTTGACCGATTTGTCAAACGAGGGTCAATTACCGGTATTGGTGATTTAACAGATAATAGCCCGAAATGAATTTGGGATGCTTATAACTCAAAGTTGGGGAATGTACATTCATTATAAAGACCATATTGATTCAGAGCATGTAATATATTTTATTTGACCCGATAAAATAAAGTATATTTAAAACAGTCCGAAAAATACAACTTTCGATATCAATTGTACACTTTGAGACAAATTAGGATGACCTCCCACATGGGTGGGGGACACCCCACGAATTTGTCAACCCTTGGGGGCTGAATGAGTGCTAAAGTTGATGAATAACAAGTGATAGGATGGGGGAGACACCTTTGACATTTAGTGGACCCCTTTCTTTCACTCATTGCCCAAAATGAGACAAAAAGAACTATCCCTACCCATCCCTTCCTCATTAGCTCGTCCAAGATCAAGGGAAAGAGAAGAAAATCTCTGCAAAGTCCATCACCATAGCCAAGAGCCCAGCTCAAACTCAAGAGGTCCAAGAGGAAGGTTTAAACAAGGAAAAAGTGAGGAAAAGCTTGGATAATTAAGGTAATGACCTTATAATAACTTTTCCTCTATTCCTTGATTACCCTATGAGTTTTATAGCATATGAGAAACCCTTGAGTAGCTCTACACACTTATGAATGTAGAAGGAAGGGTTGAGAGGTGGTTCCAAGTCTAAGAACGGACCTAGGAGCCAAAATGACCGATTCGCCGGAAAGTAATCTTTTAGAGGTTATTTGTATTGATTAAGGTTTTATGATGTTAAAACCATGTTAGGAACTTGTTTAAGGTATTTCAAGGTCTTTCACAAAGTTGAAAGAGTCGCCGGAGTTGTCGCCGGAGTTTGTCAAAAGTCGCCGGAGTTTTGCCGGAGTTCAATCAAGAGGGGTAGAACTTCATAGTGCTAATTCGAGTTGAGGATGACCGACTATATTGCTTATAATTATTGGGGTTAATTTCATAAGATTTCCCAAGTAAATTAAATGTGATTTGCATGGATTATTAATGATAAAAAATGCCAAAATGAAATTACTATTGTTTATGAATAGAGAATGCATAATATACAAATTTATGAATAAATTGTGTATGATTATGTGTTATAAATATGATGGCATGATGGTTGTTTTAACCATAATTTTTTGTGTGATTAATGTACTTTTACTTCATGTAAAGAAGTCATGAAAGGATAAAAGTGACATTTTGATATTAAGGTCAAATTATACTTGGATGAGGAATTAAATTGAAATGAACAAATAAGTATGAATTGAGAATCTGGTTGTACTAAGGTCAAATGACTAGTATTGAAATACTAGTCGGAGATGTTAGTTCGAATGATTGTTGGAAATAATCCTAAGAGATTTAATTGTGATGAATACGCTCAAAATAGCCTTAAGAGATATTCTTAAGTTGGACTTTGTGAACTCTAAATTACATTAGGAGTAGGCCTTAAAGGTTACTCAAAATGAATGGAGTCCATCTAGGTTAAGAAATTTGCTTAAAGATTAGATAACATGACTAAGAGCGGGGCTCTAGCACGTAGTAGTGATGACTATGAGCCGAGCTCTAGCACAATGTAGGTCAGTACTTTGAAGCATTTGAAAAGTACAATGACAACTATACTAAGTATAATCAATGTTTCAATTTCTAAGGCCCTCAATATAGGGTATTATTATATTATGGTTAAACCCTGTTCATTTACAATGTAGTATGACTATGAGCCGAGCTCTAGCACAATGTAGTATGACTATGAGCCGAGATCTAGCACAATATAGTATGACTATGAGCCGAGCTCTAGCTTTATGTAGTATGACTATGAGCTGAGCTCTAGTATAAAGGAACGTGACTAAGAGTCGGGCTCTAACGCGTGGAATGATATTAAATGAACAGGGTTTAACCATAATATAATAATACCCTATATTGAGGGTCTTAGAAATTGAAACATTGATTATACTTAGTATAGTTGTCATTGTACTTTTCAAATGCTTCAAAGTATTGACCTCCCCTTCACGGGGGAGGCCACCTCACAGTTTCTGGTAGAACTTGAAGGTTGCTACTGTTGCCGTTGGTTCGGAAAGATTTAATGAGAAAAGACGTGGTTCGTGCTTCCTCCGTTTCTATTTTAAAAACAATACATTTGATGCTCATGAATATTACTCCCTCCGTAACATTTATATCTTCCCACTTTCCTTTTTTGGATGTAACATTCATATCTTCCCGTTTCATAATCTTCCAATCATACCCTCAATAATTTTAAAAATAATACACTATTACACCTACTTTTTTTGGATTTATCCTTCATTCCAACATATTATTTCACTATCTTCCCATCATACCCTCAATAATTTATATCCCCTTTCACTATTCTTAATCTACCTACTTTTCAAATGGAAACATATATATGTTACGGAGGG